AAGGTCAAGATGACGTGTTTGGTTTTTCTTTCAACACCATCTCGGCGGATGGTGATGCGGCGCGCAACTACAACCCCTTGACCAGAAAGGCCCTCAACAATTTCTGCCTCGGATGTTTCAAGCAGGTCATCCTCAGAGATAACTCCCTGTACGGTGTTTAGCTTGCGGTGAGGTGTTACGCTAACTTTGTAGTCTGCGACGGCATTCAAAGCTAGGAGAGCTTCACTTTGTTGTTTTGTATTCATTTCCACAAGAAGGTCACCCGATGCCATCTTTTTTGCATTAAACTTCATTCCAATAATACCTTCAAGAACTTTTGATACCAGAAAAGGGGATAACTTTGCAAGTGGCTTTTCGTCTTCTGAATGTAGTACAAGAAACTTCGGGAATTTTAGAAATTCAACACGTTTTGCGGGAATGTCTTTTGCTTCGGTGCGGACCCTTTTCAGGGCCCGATCAGTAGATTTTTGCCTGGAACCCATAAAGATGGGAGGAAAGTTCAGTGCCCGGGTGCACCGCCCACCACGGAGCCCAACAAGGGGGTAGGTAATGTGCCATAGCAAGAGGGCTTGGCTGACACAATTACGCTACCAGTGCTGCCCGGGCACTATACCCTAGTGTGGTTGCAGGGATAGGTCCTGTTTCCACTCAAGGTTGGCCCTTGCCGCCTAAGAAGGTGAAAAAGGAAGGAAGAGAATGTAGAAGAAAAGAGAAAGAGGTGGGAGGAAAAGTGGAAGAAGGAAGAAGAGGGTAGAGGAGGCAACTGACTGAATCATCCTGGTCGGGCCAAGCCAGGACACCCGTCTACGAGAAGCAGAGGTCAAAGCGGTGTATTGCCTCGCCCGGGGGGCCCCGGGGGGTCCAAACATACCCCGGGCTCAGCTCAACCACCAGGGTCCCCTTTCCCCGGACACGGGTTAAGCCACGCAGAGCCAGGCGTGGGTGGGTAAACCCACATGGCTCGGGGTTCGCGGTGGCGCCACTCACCAAGCACCTACCAAGGCAGGTGCCCCCTGCGTGCAGGTATGGTGGCCCGCGTGGCTGGGGTCCGTGGTGGCGCTAATCACCAAGCACCTAACACCGAAGGTGTAGGCGCCCCCTGCGGGGTACTGTGTATAAAAGGCATCGAACGAGAACTAACGCGCCCTGTGTGCTTTCAATTCGGGTGAAAGGCGCGCGGCTCGCTGGGCTCGTCTCTCGCCTGTTCTCGGCGGCTGGGCGCCATGTTTCATAAGGAACACGCTCGAAACGTGTTTTGCTGAAGGCAGACACGGTGTAGCGTGTGAAGTTTACACAGCACCTCATGTGTAGACGAAAAACACAGATAGCTGCGTGTAAAACGAACACGTTTCGACGTGTCCGCTATGGGACAACGGTTTACACGTCTGGGTGAGTTATTTTTGCTAACAGTGCAGAGTAAGGACAGAGTCCAAGAGCATTTATTAACATACTCTTCTATATGAACTACAATGTCCCCATCCAAAATGCCCCCCGCGCCGGCAAGGTAAGAAAAGGTCCTTACCTGGCCAGACGCGGGGTTCCGGAGAGCCAAGACCGGGGAAGCATCGGAGAAGTCGCCGACACACGTCCTATCTCTTTCGCGGTCACCCGGACGAGTCCTTTTCCCGAAAGCGGGAAAACAAGAAGCGAAACCTCCTCACCTGTCAGCAGTGATCCGCATCCGATCGGGGGAACGGAAATCGGTCCCCCCGGGAGAGAGTGAGAGGAGCGCCCCCCAAGCCAGGCGGCCCTCCGCCTTACGAACAGGTCGGAGCTGACGGCGAAGGCGGCCGAGCGTTCGGACCCGCGGCCATTATCGCAGCCATCGGGGAAAGAAGACCAGAAGAATCCCCACATCCCCCCGTCCTTAAGACGGTAGGTGGGTCTCAATAAAGAATAAAAGAGGCCCACCTGCTCTCATAAAATAATATATCTCTCTGCGCACCCCCAACAAATACACGCGACACCCAGCGCGCGTCTTCACAGTGTCCGTCGTCAACAGCTCACGCACCAGGCCGAAGAAAAGGAAAGTTCCAGTTCCAAGCACTTGACAGCCGCCGCCACAGCACGGCAGAGCATCACAGGCACCGCGCTGACGCCGCTGGACCCAGGTGTCGCGGTACGAGCTGGCCTGCAGTGGGGGGCAGCCAGGCCGTCGTGAAGGCGGCAGCACCAAAAAAGACCGACGACCGCCGCCCACCAATGGAGACCAGCTGGGGAAGTCCCAGACACGCTGCCCGGGGGGTTCGGCGCCATCTCGGCCGCAGGGGGCTGGTGAAGGGGGGGTGGACGACCTCGGAGCAGACCTGCGAAGTCGTTTTGCGCCAGCAGCCAACACGCCCAGAGCCGTCCGTAGACCTCCCGAAAGGGAAGAAAGGGCGCCGCCGCCTCCAAACGAGGGGACGCGCGCAACCGACGCTCGCCTGCCTCAGGCCGCAAAGGCGGCAAAACGGGAAGGGCTCAAACGACAAACAAAAACCACAAAAAAGGTGGCCAGTTTGTCAACGGTGACAGGAACATGCCAGAGTGACCCGATTAGACACCGGAAGAAGAAGCCATAAAAAGAGGGCCCCTCCGTTCGAAACGCGTCCACATACCAAGCAAACTAATTGAGTTCGCTTAATGTGGGCCCCGGGGAGAGAGCTTCTAGGAAAAACGCCGAGTTCTCAATCCTTTGCGCAGGCAGCTAACACAGAGGCTGCCCACACTACCCAGTTTTATAGTTACCGGAAGAGTCCGTTGACTATAAGTGGCCAAAAGCAGATAACAGTCTGCAGCTGGCCCGTCTTCGGAAGTCGAGGTAAGGGATATGGGGACTTCGAAGGGGCGGATAGAAAGAAACCGTCATGCATGCGCGCCTGCGAGCGGGGAAGATGCAAGTTCCCGCGCAAAATAGCCGCCATCTTGCTCCTCAGGGAGGAAGACAAAAGGGGCCGCAGCTCACACGCTCAAACCTGCTAGTTTCGCCAACCATTTGAGCTAGCTATGCTTACCGAGGCTACAAAAAACATGTCTTGCACACGATAGCTTGATCAAGGGCTCACAACCGTGTGGACCCTTCTTTTGAGGCAAGGCCAGGTTTCAGAGCAACGTAACTGCTAAGAGTCTTAGAGTCGCTCTTCCACCTGGATCTCGCGAGTCTGACAGATATCGCCAAAGGGCGCTCTGGCTACATGGCGCCTGGGTTTCAGAGCAACATAACCTCCGAAAGTCTTAGAGTCACGTCCACCCAGATACTGTCGAAGTGCGCCTCAGACCGCGTAGCGCCACCACCATGAACGCAAAACTAGTGTCGTTCTTGGAAAACAACAACAGGCTGCAGGAGTACGTTGGCATCAAGCAGATACAAATCTGTCCCGAAGAAAACCCTCCGCGGCCACTGCAATCCCAGCAGTGAATACAGTGCGCGCGTCAACAGTGTGCAAACTGCTTCTCGACGCCGACGGTTACGCGGCCCGGCTCCCGGAGCCCGTCAGTAGCAGTACCAGCTACTTATCGACGTTACTGGCAGGCGTACCGTCCGAATCTGAATGAGTGTCCGCGACTACTCCGAGTCAAAGAAAACGAATATTTACATTCCCAGATTGCACTGCTGATAACCCAAATACACACAGGTGAAGGGTTCGCCTCAAGCACGGAGAACAAAGGGTCTCCCGCAACAACGAATGTTGCTTGTCGCACGCCAATTCAAAACAGGAACGCGCGTACGAATCACACTGCGCTCGCTCAAAGGAGTGGCACTGCGGGTTGCCGACTCGGCATTAATCGCTCAACCATAAGTGGCGAGATCAGGGCGCTCGTGGTACGGGGCGATCAAAGGCAAGGAATGCGGGCAAATAGGCCGGACAAAGGGACGGAGGCCGGGAGCGACGACCACGATAAAAGAAGCCGTGGCCCCACGTTGGGCGCCATTTTATGTGGGACGTTGCTAGCTACCGACTAACACAGGTACCGATATAGAGTAACCAAAGGGTTGTCTCAACAGCGGCGATATCTCAAAGGAGACGTCAAACCTAGTAGCGCGCGGTCCCCACATCTCCGCAGTAATATAGGCAACGTTTAGGGCTACATTACCGCGGGTCGGTTCGATTAATTACCTCCGTCGGTGCCAATGATCGACTACCTTGTCTCACTCTCTCGAATATAGCGGAAGAGAAGACACACGTACCAGAGTAAGGACAGAGTCCAAGAGCATTTATTAACATACTCTTCTATACGAACTACAATGTCCCCATCCAAAATGCCCCCCGCGCCGGCAAGGTAAGAAAGGGTCCTTACCTGGCCAGACGCGGGGTTCCGGAGAGCCAAGACCGGGGAAGCATCGGAGAAGTCGCCGGCACACGTCCTATCTCTTTCGCGGTCACCCGGACGAGTCCTTTTCCCGAAAGCGGGTAAACAAGAAGTGAAACCTCCTCGCCTGTCAGCAGTGATCCGCATCCGAGCGGGGGAACGGGAATCGGTCCCCCCGGGAGAGAGTGAGAGGAGAGCCCCCCAAGCCAGGCGGCCCTCCGCCTCACGAACAGGTCGGAGCTCACGGCGAAGGCGGCCGAGCGTTCCGACCCGCGGCCATTATCGCAGCCATCGGGGAAGGGAGACCAGAAGAATCCCCACAATATTAACTGCCTTCGTAACAGCTCGCACCTTGGGCACAAGATTCCAAACTGTAGTTTGTCTCAAGCCACAGTTCTATCCTTACCTCATTTGCTGAGGTGAGAATAAATACGACGGCAATGTAGAACCCACTTGAAGCACCTTTCGGAAGATTATAAATTTATATAAAACATGTCTTTTTCTGCAATATAATAGTCAAAATTTTCGAATATGTACAAGGCAGCTAAGAAAGTGTATGCGATATCTCAAAGTAAGATTCCTTCTCACAAAAGAAAGAAAAGTTTTAAAATCACTTACATTTTGAAACTGAAATAGTATATCCAAATATCTGCGCACAGCGTGACAATAAAGACAGAGTATGATAGCCAATTTCTTGTTTCGTCTTGCAGAAATATCAAGAAAGGGGCCTTCGCAATAATGGAGCGCACACGCTCATCGATTCGCAAGGTGGTTCTCTGTGATGTCCTCAAACCTGGAGTGCTCCCAGAGGAACACAGGGAAATCTTCGATGTTGTTCTCTCCTGTAATTGCCTGGAATGTGTCGCGGCTGACCTAGATTCTTTTCAGAGTGTGGTTAAAAATGTAGGGTCACTTGTGAAATGTGGTGGTCTGCTGGTTCTGGCTGGCATCGGTGGCATGGGCGACTACTACATGGGAAACAAAGACTTTCCTATGGTGAACCTCACCGAAGATGTGCTGAAAAGCTCAGTGACAGATGCCGGATTTCGAATCAAAACATTCTATGCCGAAATTGTTGGCGGTATGGGGAGCGCTGACGCATTCGTGTTTGTTCTAGCGGCCCACAATAAAGAATGAGTCGGGTTGCAGTGCCGTGCGCTACCTTGTGTGGCGGTCCTCTCTTGACCGCTTCTCCGTCCTAGCCTAACATATATGGAAGTACAAATAAATTTGTAATACTTGCTTGATAAATTAGAGTAAGCAGACGTTATAAGTGATTCGATTAGTACAAAAAATTGTTTACTTGTTAATCGATACGCCGTATAACAGAAAAAGCCTATCATTTTGTAGTGTAAGGAGACACTGGTGCACACTTTGTGCTGCATACAAAAAAAATAATCTTAAAATGAATGCAGTAACTACTAGTGCGCAGTAAAATTGTTTAGCAAGAACAACCTTTCGCTCTGTTGAAAAAGGAAGTTATGTTCCTTTTCGGCGTTTTCCCTGAGTTACAGGTCCTTTGCATACTTTGACCGAAAGCTTTATCATATGTACTACCCACTTGCTACCGAACAAGCAAATACGCCAAAGAGGTACATACGTACGCCGAAGAGGCACATGCGTGGAGCGCAATGTCTGCGATGTAGCGCCCATTGACAGATATACAATTCGTTGAAGAAAATATGAGCGAGAACAAAATATTCCAACATGGCAGGTATAATGGTAAAACGAAATACAAAGTTTTTCAGGTTTACGCAAACAATTAACGAAGGGCATCTTGCACGTCGAAGGGAAGAGAAAGTATTAATTTACAGCACCTTTTTTTTCCTTTTGACGTGGAGACCAAAGCTTATTTCGACGGCGTCTCCTTCCCGATAAGGTTTCGTCAGCCGGCTTGCTGCGAAGAATAATTTCTACTTTGGAGTCTGACAGAAGGCACGGCCAATGTTTTGCTTTTTGCATGACTGTGTTAGGGTAGACGCTGTTAGAAAACCTGGCCATTTTGAAGGGAAAATTAGAGTTCTATCAATAATCAGCAACAATGCCGACACAGCAACGGGCCATTCTCGCAGGGCGAAGTTTTAAGGAGAATATTAAAGAGTGACGTGAAGGCTTTCTCAAAAGCTTCGTGCATATGTGAGAAAGATGAGATTAAAAAAAAAAACTCCTAGTTAAAGTTGTAAACGGCTTGCTTGCCGAGGCCTTACGGACGGGTCACATATTACAGAAAGCGGATTTTTATCTCGACCAGAAACGTGCCGCCATAGCACAACTTACCGTGAATTTTCCGTATAGTCGGCTACTGTCATAACCAATAAAAATTAAAAAAGGTTAAACTCGGAAAGAGAAACGAAGAAAAACAATGTCCCTTCATCAGTCAGCCTGGAAACGTAAGCGAATGACGGGCTGGTAACCCCAGGTTGAGATGGCCGTTGTGTGCTACAATCAAAGGACAGAACGAGCGGGTTGGAATGGATAATTAAACTTGTCCGTCCTTTCCGTTTTCTTCCTCAACCTTAACTACTATCAAATTTATTGGATTGTCTTAGGGCGTTCACCCAAAACAAAAGTTTATTTTCTGGCAGAATAAACACTTCTCCGGTCAATTTGTTCAAGATTCCCCTCGTCTCCACAAAACCCACGCGAGATAAGGCAGGCCGATGACATACGTTTATATGACGCAAGCAAGAATTGATGAGGTAGTGTCACGTGATGCACCGACCGCGGATGAAAATCGCGATTTGACCTCTAGTGTTAACTGCAGATGTATCACCATCTCAATGCAAGCGGAATGCCCTAGCGGGGCGTATGTTATACTTGTGAACATAATCTCCTACAATTTCCGCCTGCCAACGTGTTTGCGACCGAGTGTAGAGATCTTTGTGGGAAGTTACAAATTTGGTGACCATGTGGCACTCGGGCCCATTTTGCATGGCGTCCTCCTGCATGCAATATTTCGTGATATAGGTTGCAGCTTCTCTTGTGCTGCATAAAGAAAATAGAAAAAAACAAACAAAAAAAAAAAAAAACATAATCCACCGGACGGTGTTTGAAGTGCCTTCTGTGTCTGCACGGGATCCTTGCTGCACGAGCCCGAAAATCGTCAGCAGAATTGCACCATCTGAAACAGGCTTGAGTTTCGCTGCTGTCGCGACATTAGCAGAGCCGTTTATATACTCCAGCACGCTATGTACCAACGAGCAAGCGCTTGCCCACACTAGGTGTGGACACTTTTCATGCGTAGGAACGAAAATCGCGCAAGACGAAGCTCCTGCGCATGCGCAGTAGTGACAGCAGCGCCACGGCGGTGGTTTGACGTCAGGAAGGAGAGTTGTAGAAGAGAAAGTGTTCGAACACTAGTTGGAATCACCGACACGAAAGAAAAAAAAAAAAAAAGCATTCGCCGAGCGCGGGTAGGGCAACGCGTTCAGAAAACACAGCTCCTGAACAATCAGAAATACAAAGCAATTTTCTATCGCAGTTAGTGAGGAAAATGTGCAAGCTCATCTTGATAACTCCGTCATGACTGAAGTTTAGGATTCGAACTGGTAGTAAATGAAGGAAACTGCTCACATGCATACCTCTGCAAATTCATTCATGAACTCGCTCATTCACCTTCAATCGCAGTCACGGCGTGAAGCCGGGAACACATTTGCGAAAAAAAGCCGAATTTTGTGCGAAAACCGCACACGAAAATCGCACGGCAGCTAGGCTCCTCCCCTTTTCCGAAAATCGGGAGCGGTTCGAAAGATCTGCAGCGCCAGATATTTTCGCACGGCGCCTCCGAATTCGGGGCGGAGGAGCTCGGTGAGCGAAAGCCCGGAACAGGACGGAACGAAAAGATACGATCGGCTCGCAACATGGCGGCTCACGCAGCTTCGGAAGCAGCGCAGGCAACATCGTATGCCATCCGTGCGTTCTCAACTCAGCCTTCGTAGAAAACCCCTTCTGTCACTATCAAAGGGTGGTGGTACAAAGGCTCGCGTGGCATTGAACGAGGTTTTAATAGCTGAAGTTTTTAAGAGGCGCGAAATATGGGACGCCAGTTTGTCAGAGTACCGCACAGCCTCCTGAAGTCGGAGCACGAAAACCGCAGTGCATTGCGATTTTCGCGCCGCGCATTCCACCTCATGTGGCTCGTCTTCCGAAAATCGCAAGCTACGATTTTCGCAGCCTCCGATTTCTCTCCGATTTTCGGTTCGTTTTTTCGCAAATGTGTTCCCGCCTTCAATCTGAATGGCTCTGAATTAATTCTTGAATTTGAAAAAAATCATGATGTGATGGTGAATGACTTTGTGAATTTGAATGAATTCGTGATATGATGCTGAATGAATTCGTGAGTTTGAATGAATTCGTGATGTGATGGTAAATGAAGTCGTGAAGTCGTGATGTGATGGTGAATGACTTCGTGAATTTAAAGGAATTCGTGATGTGATGGTGAATGAAGTCGTGATGTGATGGTGAATGACTTTGCGAATTTGAATGAATTCGTGATGTGATTTTGAATGAAGTCGTGATGTGATGGTGAATGACTTTGTGAATTTGAATGAATTTGTAATGTGATGTTGAATAAAGTCGTGATGTGATGGTGAATGACTTCGTGAATTTGAATGAACTTTTGATGTGTTGTGATTGTGAAGGACTTCGTGAAGTTAATAGAATTCATTGTGATGCTAATGACTCAATGAATTCGTGACGTGATGGTGAATGGCTCGTGAACACGATGAATTCGTGATGTGCGTGGCTCGTGAACTTCATAAGTTCGTGATGGGATCGAAGTAATACCGTGAACTTAATTCTGGACGTGATAGTGAGTACGGTTAAGAATTCAGAATAGGTGGAAAACATGTTACGCAGGTGCTTGCTTGCTTGCGGGTTGTGTTCACCCTTCACCGCAAACAACAGGGACCCATTTGACTTTTAGCGGTTTGGGCATGAGTTTCGCTGCGTAGCCGTGCGCGCCTCAGCGCGGTAGCCCTTGGTCGAGCACTTTCGTAGTAACAGCTGTTTATAAGGGACGTGCGGTGGCAGTGGCCATGAAGGGGAAGGGGGGGGGGGAGGAGGGGAAGGAGGCTAGTCGTTTTATTTGGCACTTGACATTTAATTTTGCCGTTGTTCTGGGCGGTTCCTCGTGAATCAATGGAGCTCCTTGCCGACCTTGTCCTTTCGTGTCTCGGGGCATATGGTCCGGAATGCCTGAAGGCTTTCGCTCTGCCGTTTCGCTCGTGAGTCGTGTGTGGCGCATCCGCGCTGTCCGCGGGCACTATAGTAGCAGCAGGCGCCGCTTCATCCACGCGGCGCAGCCATATATCGTTTCAAAAGAGACGAAGTCGAAGCCGACGTCACGAGCAGTCGTACCTCATCCGGCGCCGAGACCATATCACGCGACCTGCCGGTTCTGCGCGGCATTGGCTGGGTTGGCGCTCTATCAATGTGCTTTGTGTTACGCGCACTCGAAATACCCCACTTTCCCGGCGGAGTCAGGTTCTGATTTTAAGTGGCTGACACAAAAAGGCGCCACAGTCCTATTTCGCAAGAACTGCGAACTCGTGAGCCGTGAAGTCAAATTTAGTCAGAATGAACCTCAATGACTTCATGAATTATGGGGAATTCAACGTGATGGTGAATTCCGGTGAATTCGTGTTGACCGTGATGGTGAATAACTTTGTGAAGTGATGGTGAATTCGGATGACTTCGTGAAGTATGGTGAATTCGGATGAACTCTTGAAGTGATGGCGAATTCGTCGGATGAATTCATGATGTGATAGTGAATTCCGATGAATTTATGATGGTGAATTCCGATGAATTCGTGGTGATGGTGAATGACTTCGGGAATTGGTGATGTGATGGTGAATGACTTCGGGAATTGGTGATGTGATGGTGAATGACTCCGTGAATTCGAAGGCGGTGGTGATGTGATGGGCATGAATTCTTGGCGCGGTTGAACGCCGTGATGTGAAGGGGATGAATTCTCGGCGGAGTTTGAAAGCCGTGATGTGAAGGGAATGAAGTTTTGGCGCGGTTGAACGCCGGGATGTGAAGGGCCGTGACTTTGGAAGGTTGGAGTACCTTGTGATGTGAATGCGAATGAATTTGGAGACGTGATTTTGTTTGTGATGTGATGCTGAATGAAGGGG